CAGTCGTCCCGGGCGCCCAGCGGCCCGGGGGCGCGTGGCAGGGAAAACGCAGGCGGGGGTGGGAATGAACGCCGTTCTCCTGGAACTGACCCTGGGATTGCACCGTGCCAGCCGGTGCGGGGCTTGGTGTTACCTACAAGAGCTTCATAACCTGCTAAAACCAGCCGTCTGATGCCCGTGCCTGCCTCGATTCAGTTTCATTGACCTCAGTGACGGCTCGGAGCTTTTTCCGAGCATATAAATAGCCCCGTCAATATCGCTCCTGGAATCGGCGTGGATTCTGTTGTTTTGATGCTCTTCCACGTCCCTTGTGCCCGTTCCCTTGTTTCCAATCCTCGCCTGGTACCCAGCAGGCGATACCCTGTGGCGGTGGCGCTTTTCCTGCCCTCGCCTCCTTCCTGAGATTCGCGAGTTTCTCTTCTTTGAGCTGGAAGCCCCCGTCAGTTTCTGACGTTCGGGGGGCCTTTCTGCATCTTGCTTTCCTTTACTGCCTCTGACCTTCCCGGAAGCCTCTTCAGTGGGTTTCCCCGGGCCAGGCTTCGCTTCCTGGTTTCCTTTACGGCCGAGATGGAGGCATCCACCTTTCACCTGCATCGCAATGGAAAAGAAAGCCCGTTCTAGCGCAACTTCCTGTCCTCCGGTTGGGTCATGAGGAAATGACCATTTGTTAAATATAGTCCCTTCGGTGCTTTCGTGAGTTGCACTGCCTGGTGAGTAATCGAGGCCTGGTTGGCCCCCGCGCTCTCACCCAGTTAGGGCTTATTTATAGGAAGCTGCTCTGCCATTTTACCACGGACAGTAGCCGGACAGAGAAGTGGCAATTATATTGCTCATTTGCATTTTGGCCTGTCATAGTAGAGACAGTCAGCATGCAGCCTCTCCTGCCATGGATAGAAGACGGAGTCCTAGAATAGTGGAGCTGGAAGGGGCCAGAAGTCTGCCACTGGGACCCCCCCCCCCCATTCCGTTGTTGCAGGTTGCTAAGTTACACCATCCCACCAAGCTGCGTCCCTGAATGTGGATGGATTTATTTATTTCCAGGGCTTAGAACCCACTTTTGAGCCAGTTACCTTTCAGAGTGGGTCAGAGCGAGCTAAAACAATAAAATTGCAAGTTAAATGAAAAGAGCGTAAAACAGGAGCCTGAATAAAATAGCCAGATTGGCAACAGGTGTCAGACTGCATATGAAATGCCAGAAAAAAGCGAATCTGTGATGCACGGGAAGGAGCAGGGCAATAAAAACACCTTCACTTCTGGAGGTGTCTGCTGGATTTTCTTCTTCGGGCACCGGAACGGCCATGGGCTTGTGAGCTGGGGACAAACTTATTTGTTGCTTGTGTATATAAAAGAATAAACTTAGCAAGGCCTGGGTTCATGCCCAGCAATCATGTTGTGCTGCGAAAGAGCATCTCTGTGCATGCAAGGTGGGCACCCGCTTTTCCCCCGTCCCCGGCATCTGCACCGGCCACAGCTGTGCCCCGTCTTCTGCTCCGAAGGATCACCCAGCCCTCCTCGGGAGCCCCTTTCGGAACGTGCGTGGGGCTGCAGAGGGAAGGGGCGAGCAGTGCGAATCTGCTGCCCTGTGCTTTTGCACAAGCCATGTCGCGCTTCCTGCTAGCCGGGAACAGAACGCTGCTTCCGGGTACATTGTGCTCGCCCTCTGCTTGTTTGTTTTCACTCTCCCAGCGGAGGCCAAACAATCTGATCAGGTGAACACAATCAGCAAGCAAGCTCGTCCAGGTTCCCAAGAAAGCTCTGGACAACTCAGGCACTGCGTGCTGTCTTTGAGGCGGGACAAAATGCCAACTGGAGAAGAGGTGGCATGGACAGGAGTACGTGAGGTGCGGGGGCCCGTGTCCCCGGCCCCCGCCGGCCCCAGGGCTATGGGCCACGTACGGACGCCCGCCTCCGGGGTGGCCAAGGGGCCTGCCAGCTTTGCTGGTGCTCCGGCAGGCCCATCCAGGCACAGAGGGCTTTCCTGAGGTGTGGCAAGCGCATCTTTCTAGGATTGTGGGGCTGGCACGTAACAGCTCCACAAACCCTCTGCTCCATCGGCTGCACGGACTTTTTGAAAAATTAATAGCAATCCGGGGAGAGCACTCTCCTCCACCATGCGCGGGGGGGGGGTTGATTCTCCCCTCCCCAGGCATCAGTCAAACAAGAATCTCTTCCTGTAAAGCAGGCAGCGCCAGAAGAGTGTTCAGGGGCAAATGAGAACTTCTCTCGTAATGCTAATTACTGGTGTGGGAGGCACGGGTCAAAATCTGTTCAGGAGGTGCGAATCACGGCCCTTAACTTGACCCCCCCACCCCCAGCCGGCTGCAGCGGATTCCCCACATTCTCTCAATTCTGTCTCATTTGGATCCCCCGTTTACACACCTCCTCCTCCTTCCCGTTATTTGCATGTTTCTCTCCTCTGCCACCTTCCCCTTCCTCTCCTGCAGCTCAACCTGACTTGGAAGTAAGTCCCACTGGGATATTTTCCTACTAATCCGAGATTCCTCGTGTTGTGTTCCCAGACGCTGGGGGAAAGGCACGGCCCATGTCCATGGGGAGACATCCTCACCTGTCCTGCCCACCCCCTCCCGGGGCTCTTCCGTCACCTGGCTGCCTCTGCAACGCAAACCCCCCCCCCCGCCCTTCCTAGCGGTGCTGGTGGGTGCTTGACAGAAGTCAGCCATCAACTTTGGGAACGGGAGAGGAGAGTGGAGATGGAAGGCCTGCTGTCTGCAAGAGGGGCATTGCTGGCTCCTAGTGAGACACGGCGAGGCAAAGGCAGCCTGTTCTGTTTACAGGCAGCCTTCTGATTCTGGGGCGGGCTCAGTGAGCGAAAGGCAGCAGACGAGCCGCACGGATGGAGCCCTGAGCATGGCGGGGCTGGCAAGATCTGGCCCAGCCAAGAACTGTGCTCACTGGCCCACCTTTGGCTCACCGGGATGCGGGAGTCACGTGGCAAGCAGGGCAGGAGCAGCAGAGCGGGTGGGAGTGAGGGACTCGGCCTTTGAAGAGAGATCAGTGGCCCCCCGGAACAGCGAGCTTGGCCCTTGCAGGAGTGGGCCAAGGGTTTGGCCAACAGCCCCCATCAGCCTGAACCAGCACGCTGCTTTAGGCTGGCGTGAGAGAAGACGCAGCAAGTGGCAGTGGAATGCGGCGAGGAAGGCAGGCCGGCCGCGCCTGGTGCCAAGATCCGTGGCTGCACTCCCGCCAAGGCCTGAAGGGCTGCAGAGGTGATTGAAGGAAGGTCCAGCTGCAGGGAGAGAAGGGCGCTTGCTCCTGAAACGTGCTGACTGAGCTTTCCCACGTCCTGCGTTTCCTCCAAGGACTTCAGGCAGCCTTCATTTTGCCTTCACAGCAGGCCTGCGAAGTTGTCCAGGCCGAAAGCTGAGCACTGTCACCGGGGGGCGGGGGGATTTAAACCTGGGCCTTCACAGCCCTGGTCCATCCCCAGAACTGCAGGGTTCTTATAAATCCCGTAAATAGGTGGGTAACTGGATGGCTCCTTCCAGGGACTCGCCTGCCCTGTGTTTACGGAAATGGGGCATCGTATTCCAAGCTGTTCTGTCGATATCGCAAGCCAAAGAAGCACCTTCTGAAAGAAAAAATGGCCGGCCAGATGTGGGAAGGGAGGGGCGGGGCCACGGAGCACATCTGTCCAGTGGGCTTCGTGGAGCCACCGTGACTGGAGGAGAACCTGAGAGGGGGAGGACCCAGTGGAGTTCTCCCAAACGGCGGCTTCTCGTCAAGTCTGCACAGTCCTTTGCCTTTTCCTGCCCAAGCCAAGGATGCCGCGTCGGGAGAAGATGTGGCACACTTGGTATCTCCCCACATGGGCTGAAGGAAGGGCGTCTGGGAAGCAGGCTCTCCCCAGGTTCCATGCACAGCTCCCCTTGCCCTTGTCTGTTCTTGCAAAATATTTGTGAGGAGTGTTCTTGCCTAAAAGGAAATTCCGTTTTTCTTCTTATCTGATTACAGTACAAGCAGGAAGCTACCACATCTGTTCTGCTTGAAATCATGACCCTCTCTATTTTATTTTTATGCCAGCCACAACTCCGTTGGCTGTTCCGTCTTGTGGAAATGATGTTGCTGATGTATTGCTGCTTTAAGGCCTGGTTGTGGGATAGATGGAAGTTCTTTCTCATGGGAAGTACTTACCGAAATTGCTGTGTGCTAGGCAATGTTCATTAGAGGAACCAAGCATTGTGCCTCGGGGGTGACCCAAGCCCTTCCTCTTGAGATGAAGGTATAAAGCGTGTGTAAACAACGCCCGCCTGATGGAAGCCATTCATCCATTTCTCTCTGCTTTTTGCTGGGGACGGTGAGGGCAGCAGAGAGAGGGCGTGTTGCTGGGAGAGGGAAGACCTGGGGAAGAGGGATGAGGGGCCCCAACGACGCCTGACCAGTCCTCTCCAGTTTGCTCTGGCAGGAGGCGGCCCACGTCCTGGCAAGTCCGCTGCACCTCACCCTTTAACTGGCAGCCGGAGGCGGATGGAATCTGTGTGGTTAAGCGGCATCAGGGCGACGCATGTAGCCACAGTCAATGCATTAATCTTGGGGCTGATATTGGCTGGACAGACCAATATTTACCTGTGCAAGGGGCTGCGCGGCTGGTGCAGCGCTAATTTCCCGCGGTTCAGCAATGCAGGACTGGGCTTGTGATCTATAATCCGTTTCGGACGCCATCCCCACAGACTGGCAAGCTGCTGGTTAACAAAGCAAGTAGCAGGCAGGAGTGAGGAGGACCTGAAAATGGGGTTTGAAGGGATTTTAGGTGAAATGGGTGGGGAAGGTGGAGCTGCTGCTGCGAAGCAGAGTTTATAATGCTGACCTCGCATCAAATACTTTTCCTCATGGGAGTTCTTCACCTAAAGAACTCATCCGACCTAATCCAAACGCCCTGAGGTGGTAAAGAGAGAGCCGGTGTTAGATCAGGATTCTGTAAGCCACTTGCAGGAAAAAAAGAATATAAAATATAAATAAATGTATGTTTTGAGCACAGAAATATAGATTTTACTATTATCCCATTTCAAACTAAGTTTATCGGAAGTTAAGATAGCTTTAATGTATCGCACACGATGGAAACAAATTCATTTCTTTCTCTTGAATTAGATTAAACCACAGGCTCAAAATTCCGTATTTATTTATTTATTTATTTTGGTGCTGCAGTAAGGACTGGCTACAAAAGACTGGCTACTTTCTCTTCCACTTCTTGTATAGATTTTTGCTATGTGAAAGCCATATTAGATCTTTTGATGAAATCGCAGGTACAGAAATTGCTGATTATCAGTCTAAAACTGGTGTGTATGCAGATGATAGTTTACTTGCATCATCTAATCTCCAAATCTCAAATCCATTTCCTTTTAAATATATTATGGCTCTGTTTCAAGATGTATTATACTCAGTCATCAGAAGACAGAATAGTATCACTTAAGAAATAGACTCACTTGATATTAGTTTCTTGGTCCATTTTCATATCAGTTAAACACAGAGGGTGGCATTTCATACAATAGGAATGACTTATTTAAAATTAGTCTTCAGCAATCCATAGAAAATGCTGGGGGAATCCAAAGCAGTGGTCTACTTATGGGATTACAAGGTCACGGTAACATAAAAATGACTATTATGCATATTTCTTCTTTTCTGTTTGACAATATCCTACCATCTGCTCCCTAGATATATTGAAAAAATGGTGAAAAGTTGTGTGCTCGAAAACCAGATTAAAACAGAGTGGCTAAAGGTGGCCGTCCCAGGCACGTTTAGGCCAAAAAAGGTCCGAGAGGGGATGGGGTTCTCCGGAGCAGACTTGGGGGTGTGCAGAGGAGCGGAAGGCAAGGGGCATCTTGCGCGACGGGAGGGATATGGGATTATATGATTCTGGATATCCCTCACTGGCTCAACGGCTCTGGGCATTGAATTCTGGCTTTGATCACTATTCACATCCTGCGCTATGAACGTTTAATTGTCTAACCCAGTTTCTGCGCATTGCAAAACTGTGTTCTTCTGACCCTGGGAGCGGAAAGGATCCATGACTTGCCACTGTAGGACACCGATGCATTGCAGCACATGTTGGTTACGTGATTGACATGTAGAGCTCTCCAAGCGGAGGGAATAGACCTCAGAACAGCAACTGCTCTTCTGTGTAAGCAAATATAAAGTCATGCATTTTGGGGCAAAAGAAGATGAGCTTGTGGTGACCGGCCAGGAAAAGTTGAAGTAAAATCCATCTCTGTATCCTTAGGAAACACTTGGCGTCCTACATGAACTACGAAAACCCTCCGCCATACTCTGGCCCAGGTCCAACTGCCCCATACCCACCGTACACCCAGCAGCCGGGGGCGCCACCCGGGCCTGGCTACCCACCAGGGCCTGCTGGGCCGTATCCAGCAGGTGCACCAGGCTACCAAGGTTATCCGGCATACGGGTGGCAGAATGCTCCTCCACAAGGCTGGCAGAATGTCCCTCCACCTCCCGGACCGGTCTATGCAGACGGACCCAAAAATACAGGTAATGTCCATTGTATGCGTGTCCCTGGGCTGGCTTCATGATTTTGTTACAGATCTGAGCAATGTGTACTTATTCCGAGCCCAAAGAAGGGAGCTTGGCAGCAGGATGAGACCCGGAAGGGCCCTCAGCACGTTCTCATGCTTGCTCTCATCTCCTCATGGCCTTTTGAGAGGAGGAGGGATTTCCAGGGATTCCCATCTCCAGCTTTTCATATTCATCCTGCTTTTCCTGCTGCTTTTCCTGACTGTCCCCCTTCTTTTTCTGAGGTGGTATGGGGCTGAAATTTGCCACTTTTTGCTCCTAGGAACTTGCTGGACTGTTGCAGACTAAGTTCCAGATTCTTTTCCATTAGCTGCTTTGGGCACCCATTTTAGTGGCTTCTACTTGTTATTCCGGCAGATATTCTCTTAAGATAGACCCGGTTCACACATAAACTACATCATAGTTTAATCAACCTACAGTTTGCCATGCACAAATAGGAGCTGAATGTTCACACTGCTCCTCCGTGCATCTGACTTCCAATTCCATTTTACAGCCTACAATTTACACCCATCTTAAGTTGTTTTCATTGTATCTGAACCCAGGCACTCTTAAACTGTGTAGAGGTTAAATAGTCCAGAGTTAATCAAGTGGGCAATTGGAGCTATTACAGGCTGACAAAACAGAAGTGAAAAGGAGGGGCAGATGGGAAGAAGTGAACTGGGGTATGTGTGAATGGGGTGATAGCATAGCATATATTAATCTTGTTTTTAAAATGCTAGGGGATTTATCATTGCAGCTTCTCCCAATTAAACCCTTTTTAAGTGCATTGTGACATTCTTTGGTACTAAGGTCCCTCCAACCCCAAATTGAAACATAGAAACAGAGCGAGTCAGAAAGGGCCTCCCGGGCATCTTCCAAGTTTAGCAAGTCATTGTCTGGCATTGTCAACTTTGCAGCTTCCATTCCTTCAAAATTAGGCTTCTGTTCTCTACAAATCGTAAGTTGGGAATTTCTGGATCACATGCTCCTGTAAAGGATGTAGGATGAACAAAGGGTATGTGGGAATACTTCTCCCTTCGCCCACTGCTCTAAGCAATCCTCAAAGGTGGCCAATTTCTCAGGAATGATTAACTATTTGTTATATAATAATAGGCTATTAGATGTCATAACTATCACAATAATAACTTAGAAACTTCTTGATTCCACATACGACTCTTTCAAGCTTTGATGCAGGCTCTGGTTATACATTAGAAATTAATAGAAAAAAAATTCTCCACTGGTTTGCAGGACTGATGGAATTAATACATTGGCAGGTGTATTTGCAATTGGCAGTAATAATGAATTGTATGGAGTCAGTCATTAAAACAATTAAAATTGGTTCAGGACTGGGACAAGTTTAAGATGATATGGGTAGGGAAATATACCCATCGCGAAAAAATTGCATTGCCTAAGGGTTGCGTGTGGATTCCTTATTTTTATCAATGGGAACCATTAATGTGGCAAAGGTCTATTGATGTGGTCCCATAAGAAAGCCAGTATTCCTTATGTACACTTTTTATTGTTTACTGATTATTTTTTTAAAACTTCAGATTAAAAAATCCAGTCTTAAGAAAATGCGAAAGTAATGGACTTTTATCCATCCTGGAAGATGTAGATTCATGAGGCATGTGGACAATTCCTGGAAACTGTTTTCTTCTAGCGGACAAAGAAGTGTGCATCTCTTCTTTAAAATGGAATCGTTTAGGGAGTCTATGCCAAAAGCTTAGACTCAGCTTCATCCAGGTTGTGGTTTAAAGTCAGGCAGGCATGGAGAAATGAGGGTTGGGCTTTGTGCTCCCCCACCTCCAGCAATCTGCTTTATTTACTTAAAGTAACTTTTATATAGAAAAGAGCCTTATCTTAAGAACCTTTTAACAAGATTATGCACTGAAGGTGTAAATCATGTGGCAAAGTCCAGAGGTGAAAATTAAAGATTTTCCTCTCCTATTTCTGTTTCATCCAACAAGAAACAGAACAAATGAAGCAGACAGATGGTGAGTTTTTTAACAAGTAATGGGAAACTTGCATTCGGTGAGGCTTACCTGGGTATGCCTCTATTCAGTGTGTTGTGTTGTGTTTTGGCAGAGAGGTTGCAAAGAACTTCCAGGTCCAGATGACAGTATGTGGCAACTGCTGTTGTCTTGCTAGCAGGAAGTTACCCAGGAGCGCCTGACCTCCCATTTGTGGTCACCTTTGAGAAGCTAAGACATGGCAGGGGTCCCTCACTGCTGTTGGCTCCCTCCACACTTACCCTAGACCTGGTGGATGTACCAGAAGACTTGGAGGGTGGACTTCGTGGGTGGAGGCCAGGCAGACCCATATTTGCCAGTGACTGTATGGATTGAACTGCACTCCCCCTCTTTATTTCTTATTTATTTGATTTATATTATTTTATGTATCTGGGTTTTTATATCCTGTTCATCGGCCCAGGGCTCTCAGAATGGCTCTAAATCCTGTCTTCCCACCCTCAGAAATGTCACACATGGTCAACCACTCACAGTGGTCAGCAGTAGTAAAGATTCAAACAGAAACGAAGCTGAAGTAATCATAAAAACAATTGAAAATGCAATGATAAAAGATCCCGGCCCAGTAGGACCCCTTCAGTGATGAAGCAGCTTACAGGCCAAGTTTCTGAACATTTTCCAGAGCTTGTTACAGTAGTCCAGGTGGGTTATCCATTTTCTGAAGTTAATCAGTAACTGGTGTCCATACAGGGAGAAACGTGGTGTGTGTACCCAAGATAAAGGTCTCTCCGAACTAAGACAAAGGCAAAATACTTCCATTTAAAGAAAAGCCGTGCATACGGTTTGCATTTGTGTTCTGTGGACTGGCACTTCTTGGTGGAATTGTCGACACCCTTCCATTGCGCAAAAGGGAGATAACACACTTCCAAGTGGGTGGCAAAGCAGCTGAGTTTTCTAGAACTCCATTTCATTGATTTCCAAAGCAGAAAGGCCGGAATGCTTCAGCTTTGTCAGTTCTTCTGTTCCAGGATACCTGGGGCTGCTTGAAGAGGTTTATATAGTCAGTCAGTTGGCTCTGACTCACAGCGCTGACCCCTGGAAACGGCTAAAGGACTATAGGGTGGGGTGAAAATTCCTCCTTACAAACAGGGGCAAGTGAGTTCTCTTACAGAGAATGGCGTACCCCACTTTTCACTGTGCTTGCCTCAGGCGCGGCCCAAAAAGAGAATTTCACTGGATTGTGCTAAACAAGCAACGTTGTGCCGTGGGATTCTGGCACACGCTGTCGAAACGTGGGAGGCAGATCCCGGCGTGTTTTGCAGAAAGTTGTGATCTTCCCACGCTTCTGCCTTTGTGTTTGCCCTGGTTCAGTAGCCAGTGATTCCCAGCTTAGTGTTTAATTAGTATTTATATTAATATATCATGATATTGTTTATGATAATTGTAACACCGCTTCCAGCTTCTCTGCTTCTTGGGGCAAAGAGCAAGGTTGGTTTTGCACCGCACACAGCAGTTTCGAGCGGGAAGGTTCAGTATGGGCTTCATCAAACCAGAGGCCTCTCCCCAACTACACGTGCGCTTTGGTGCAGGTTTGTTCTGGCAGGGCCTTTCCTTTTGTGTGGCGCAGATGTCTGTGGAGCAGTTGGGCGGGAGTCACCGCATGAGCAGTTTCTCCCATCTCGGCTGCGAACCCCTCCAGCTTCCTCGGAGCTTCGCCAGCAAACTCCTTATCCAGTCCCTGAGTTTTGGTGAGCGGCCTTCTAAAGGCAGAGTCACACTGCAAAGGCGCATTCTTTGTCATCCGAAATCCTTAACAGTGGATTTATCAGTGCAGTGAGGTATTTTTTTAATAACCCAACCCTTATTGGTGCTTCTTGCATAAGCGATACCTCTCCACAGTGCTGCTTAGTTAGATATGATAACGGACAAACTGCGAGGCCTTCCAGAAACAGATGGCCTTTAATTGGAGATCACGTGGCACTGAAAATGCATGGAAGCAGACTCCGTTCAGTGACTTGCAGAATGTGACTTCTGGAGGTTGTGTCGGGGCTCATTTAGGCATGGGTGAAGACACGTGCCGCCAGTAAGTGTCTGTCTGTTTTTGTCTGCTTAATTTGCTGCCAAACAATATTTTCCCCCTTTATAGTGTTGAATATCTTGTGTGCTTCACATGGTAACAATGCCAATTACATCCATTCTGATTCTAGGTTGTAACACAGCAAAATGTGGAGTAGTCATGATACTTCGGCAAGGCAGTCTGTACGAATGGAAGCGCAGAGTCCGCTGCACTGAAGATTAGCATTTATGCCCTCTGGTCTTCATACTTAAGCCAGATTTTGTTTTTAAAAATATCAAAACTTGGCCTTTGTCACTGAGCAAAAACTAGGCATACAAGCTACAAAGGTGGGGGAAATAGGATGAAGGTGGGCTTTCCGATCCCTGCAAAGAAACGCCTCCCGCTCAGAATGTAGTCCCCTTGTTTTGCACGTGACGCCCAGGTCGTGTTACAGTGGCTGTGCGCGCCGGCTCGCGTTTCGCCCGTCCCAGCTTCTGGCGCATGCTCACCTTTTATTTTGGGGTGCACCAAGAATAGACCTTCTGGCACGCTGGGGCACAAAGTCAGAAGCTTCAGGGGACAAGCTTTGTGGTGGTCACTGCTGCCAGCTTGGAAAGGCTGCTGCGGGGAACCTTATTTTTCTGCACTGTAACATTGTTCCACCCTCCTTGGTTACTAATCTTCCTGCTTTATTACTCTGGTGAGATTATGTGCCTGGGACAGGCATATGGCCTGGCAGATGGGGAGGAAGGGCTCTCTTGTACCAGCGCATCCTGGCAGGGGAAACCACAGCACTGCGAGGGAAACTGGGACCGTGAGTCCGGTTTTCCCCCAGCGGAGTGGAATTAGCCAGTCTTTCACTCGGGTAGAACCGACCTACTTGCACTAGGGCCTGTCGCTGAATGCCAGACTGATTCGCAATGCAATCCCTCTCCACTGTCAAGAGGCGGATGAAAGGGCTGGTCTGGCTTGCATTCCTAAGGTCTGTGCAGACGGTCTCCCTCTTTAGGATCTCTGTCCACATTGGTATGTGGGTCTCTGGCAGGGATGGCACGCACCCTCCTGCCCAGCAATCTTCTTGCTGGCCCCCAAGGAATAGTCTTGGGGATCATCTTGAGGACTTCCCAGAAGTCTGTGCCAGGCATAGCTCAGGATGGCGTGATCCACAAAAGCTCTTGGTGTTCACCAGTCAATGAAACCGTTGGGTGGCGTGCTCTGGAAATGGGGCCATGGCGCCGTCAGAATGCAGGGAGCACCCCTCTCTCCCTCTCACATTTGCCACCGTCCGGATAAACCTGTCGTGCGCTTGCTGTTTCCATGAAGCACTCATGGGGCGGATTGCACAAACTTCAGCTCCCAGTAGTGGCGTCACCAGACCGTTGGCCAGGGTTAAGTAACGTTCTTCCTGTTCAGCCCACACTGCTTGCTGCTGGTTAAAAGACGAAACTGAGGGAGCTCCTGTTGACCTGCTAAGGCCACAGGTCCTCGGGAAATGGGTCTCTGCGTGTGCCATTTTGCACGCTCCACTCAGCAGTGGAGGCCACGCCGCAGCTGCCGTGGCCCAGACGAAGCCCTCAGCAGGGGTGGGCAACAAGCTGCCCACTCCGAAGCACCCAAAATGCCATTCAGAAAGCGTGGCGCAATGGCCGCAGCTCTGGGCTGGGATGCAGGGGAGCCGGGTTCTAGTCCCCACCTGGCCATGAGACCGACTGGGGGGCTTTGGGCCACTCACCGACCCAACAGGGTTGCTGATGTGAGGCCAAAATGGGCAGGAGGAGGGCCAGGTAGGCTGCCCTGGATTCCTTGAGAGAGTGGGGAAAGGTGGGATATAAATGAAATGTAATAATAACTGTAATAACAAAAATAGAATAATAGACAGTAATAAAAATGACCCTAAAGAGAGTCATCAAACCCTGACAATTTAATCATTTAGATGCCTGGCTAAATCTGACTTAGCTGGCATGTTTCTTACATGTTTTCAGTGTTGCTGTCCTCTTTGGCCAATATTGGCAGTACTTATATTTTTATCTGTAATTTAAATTTGAGGCTTTTGTGTGTGTGTGTTATGCAGCACTTCACTGTTGTGTGATGTAAGCAACTTGGGAGTTTATACATACAATTAATAAGGCTTTGGGTTGTCCGTGGATCCATCGTTTCACTTGAAACTAGAAACCACAAAATGAGACATGGAACCGTTAAACATCACAGTACTTTGTGTGAGCAAGCAGAAGTGGACTGAAATGGGGCATTTGTGGTCAGAATAACCAGAAGTCGTTTCCTGTGGAAATGACGTGAGCCAAAGAAATTGCGTGCAATACGAAAGCAAGGTGTATTACAAGCCATATGGGGCCATAACGCAAAGTCCACCCCAAGACGTGTCAGTCAGACTTCTTGGAAAATCTACCAAAATGACCACCATTTAAGAATCTGCTCCAACGACAGATGCTGAAGAAGCTGAAATCAAGATGTTTTAGGCAAGCTTGCACGAGGAAATTGTTGACACGCCATAACAAGGCATTCTGATCAGGTGTGAGTGGAATGCAAACGTAGCAACAAGGACGAACGGGTGTCGTGGGAGTGTTGGTCCCAAATGTCAGAACCAGAGCAGGACAGCAGTTCTAGATTCTGTGGCACACATGAACTGCCTAGTGCCAATACCTTCTTCGGACAACTGATGAGAGGATCCTACGCATGGATACCTTCAGAGGGACAGTACAGAAATCAACACTGGTAGGGAAAGCTGAGGGAGAGGAGGAGGAGAGGAAGGCCCACTAGGAGCTGGATGGGCTACTTCAAGGAAGCCACAGCCTTGAGCTTCCACGAGCTGAGCACGGCTGCCACGGACGAGGCATTCTGGAGTGAACGAAACAAATGCCCAAAACTCCAATCATGGATTTCCTACCATTTCCTCTGATTTAGCCCTTACAGTTTGTGGTTTTGGCCTTTGCTTATTTTAGATCCTTTGAGAGCATAAATATTTTTAGGTCTTTCCCTGCAAGGCTGAGAAACTGCATTCATCTGGTACGATGTCATTTAAAATGGTAGATTGCGTAAGCAGTGAGCAGCCACTTTTGCAACCCGAGTGCTTGGGAAGATAATTCTCTTGTTCCTGGAGAGAGCAGGAATTGCCTGTTTCCTTTTCCCCCGTCAGTCACTACAAAACGTCGGCTAATGCATCTTGCAAAATGCATACAGCTGAAACAGAGCTGACTAGTCTATAATGAATAGATTTATGGCCAATGGTCTTTCCTTTGATCACAGGCAGAAAAGCAGCTTAATGAGTATTTTCCCCTTCAACCAGCCCACCTCTTAGATCAGGCAAATACCCATCTGAGCAGTTTTCTTCCTCATCTACAAGGGTGTCCGCATCCCTTCCCTTCTACTCTCATGCACACGCACCTTCTTACCAGGGTTGAAGCGTTGCACACCCACTGGGCATGCTTTTTTCTATCTGGAATGCTCCCCTATTTATTTTTAAGCCAAGTTGTTTCTAATTTTGGGACTGGTTGGAGGTCACACTGGGAGGCTATCTTTAACACACACACACACACACACACACACACACACACACACACACACACGGTCCTCTCTCAGAACTAAAAGAGATTGCAAATGTGCCCAAGACGAAGAAGCAGTGCCCAGAACACTGCACAAGAATTGTAACCTTGACATTTTTCCTTGCTTAAAGGCATGCGCTCACAAACACTGCTGCGGATTGTGTGTTCTAAAACTTTGGGAAGGAAAAATGCAGAATGCTGCTGTTCTACTAAACAAAAGGAGGCTTTCTGCGAGCGAGCCAGATTAGCCTCTTCCCAGACAACTTGTTGGCAGGATATAGTGTTCTTCAAGATTTAACATCCTATATGTTTCTCTCCAGATGTTTAGCTTTGCTGGCATGCAGCTCCTTATTGCCAAACAAGGGAGCACATGAGAACAAAGGATTCTTGGCATATTTTTATTTGTGTGTGTTTTAAGATCAGAGAAGGGGCATGTTAAACATCCGATGTCCCAGAATTTAAAGCGGCCTTCTCTATGGAATTACTGGGCGCCTATCCTGTTTCTTATGTAAAGGCAGACTTTAGAGGTGTGTCCAGGCTGTGCCGTGAAGTTAATTACTGAAATGTATTTCCCTGTATCTGTGTTCCTGCTCTCACAGACTTGTGATGGATGCCTTTGGCTGGCCCAGCAGGCCTTCTGCTGGGCCAGCCCAACCAACATTCTCAGGAGGGTGATACCTTCATTTAGGAGAAAAAGCAGAGATGTTTCTAGAAAGCACCAACTCAGCCATACAAAACTCACCTGCAAGGAGTGGGCCTTTTTTCAAGGACAGAACAAAACTCCGTTGCAGGTGCTCCAGTGGGATATGACTTCCGTATTGCATCTCACAAGCCAGGGAATTAAATAATCTGCTTCTCGTGCACCTAAAGAGGGCTGCGCGAAGTGCCTTGCAGCGAGTCCCGGCTGTCGGTGGCTGGGCCAGCTGAGGTGCAGTGGGGATGCTGAGAACGGGGCTGCTGCAGAAGTGAACTGTGCTTGAGTCTGGCAAAACAATGTGCTCTCTGTGTACAGACAAACAGAGAAGGTTGTTTGTTGGACTCTTCCTTCATTCAGGCTAGCAGGCCAGAGAGAGAGGTCCGGATCGATTTCCAGGCAAACCTGCTCAGTTAGTTTGAGCCTGCCCCAGCAGCCTCGGTCCAGGCACTGGCTGGATTCAGTAACATCGCACAAGCTCATCATGTAAAATCCGTCACCCTGTAAGTCAATACAGGCCAGTAAAAACCTAAATACAGGCAGAGACGGTAAGGCTTAAACTATTTTGTTACTCAGTGCATTTTGATTATGATTGAGCTGTTTTTAATAGTATCCACATACATTTCAATCATAGCAATGCCTTTTTTTATTTAGCTGAACTCCAGAAGACCAAAGTAGGTTTACTAAGCAGTTTGGTGACATAGGATAGTAAGAGTAAAAAGCATACTTTTTCAGCAGTTGTGTGGTTTTCTGCAATATGAAAAAAAAACAATAGTAGTGGGAAAATACAGGAGAGTTTACGAGACGACATCATCCAAACCTCCTGTGAATGAAGCAGGGTCATGGAAGCGCCTGGAATCAGCGCGCGCTTCTTGGTGCCTGCATCTCCCAGGTGTTCCTGGTGCCGAAATTGGGATGAATTCTCGTTGGCCAGAGCGGACCGGGACCGTCCTCCAGGCACAACAAACCTCCCGCAGGGCCGCCCAGAACAGCCCTGCAGATCGAGGTGAAGCGGAGTGCGGTGGGCCTCTCCGCGCATGGGCCTCCGTGCACGCGGCTCCTCTAACGTGTGCTTTCTCTTCCCAGTGTATGTTGTGGAAGAGCGGCAAAGGGACAACAGCGGGGAAAGTGCGTGTCTGACCGCTTGCTGGACTGCGTTGTGCTGCTGCTGCCTGTGGGACATGCTGACTTGAGACGCCCCGAGACGCGAAGCCTCTCTATACCTCTTAACTCGGAGTGCTATGCATTCTCCTCCTCCTCTTCCTCCTCCTCAACAGCTTTTTAGTACTGTGATTCTCTGCTTGGCACAGGGGACGGCGGCACCCTGCCGTCACAGTAGCGCCACGGTGTCGGTTATGCACTTTTTAGTTCTAGTGGAGGAAAACCTCCGCCCACACACACCTTGTAGCCTGTTTCTAAGACTTCGCGGTCGTTCTTTAAAGAATGTGCTACATCCTTTTTTTTGGCAAAAAGGCTTTTACTACAGATTGTGTATTTATAATTTATACCATTCTTGAAAATGGAATATTATGCAATAATTTAAGCCAATCACTCATTTTTTCTTACTTGCTTCCACTTCTGTTTTAATAAACTTTGTCCAATAAAGATATGGACCCATAAGATGAACCGTATCGGCCAGTTTTTGTTATCTCGTTGCATTTGGCGTACACGAAAAGGTAGCAATGCCAAGTATTTACTTAATTTCTCCTTAAAGATACCCTTCAAAGGGCATAGTTGCTTTGTCAACATGTCATGTTTCACCAAAGAGCAGCCCTGCATACAATGTAGAGCTTCTTTCCTGAAGTTTGCTGGTGAAATATATGAAAAAACTTTTGTATCTCCTTGATGCTCAGGGGTGACTCCTTTCCTTTCTGCTGATTTGTGTTGCCTTGTCCAAATATATTCTCTGTTTTACTGAGCCTAAAAAACATGTAGCAATCAACATACACAGTCACAGTCCTCAAAACCAACTTCAGATTATCTGGGTCAGGGAGTGCAAGCACTGCTCTAATAAAATACTATTGTTCGCAATTTTTGAAATGATCCAAGAGCGCTGGTGGCTGCTTCACCGCCACCTTCCAAAGAAAGGGGCGTTTGCAACTGGGCAGCAGTCAAACAGAGATACAGCTGGATGCAGAGTGTTTCTCTTCAGGAACGGCCATTCTGTTCCTTGCTACAGGACAGTAAGAACTATCACTTCACAAAAAGGTGTAGCAATTTTTCAATTTCAATCTTCCTATTGGGGAAAAAAAATCTGTTTATTCTAAATAACTTTTTGGGGGCCTTTAAGGGTAGAATGCTTTGAAGCATCTCTCTTTACGTGCCCATGGATGTCTACTTGCTCTGCAGCTGTCAGAAAGAAAATGCTGGTGGGCGGGTTGTGTGAATGCACAGATGACCGCTCAAAGAATGGCAGTCACAAGTAAGCAACCTGCCATTCTTCCCCGTGGCTTTTGTGCATCACACCTGTGGTCAGTTGCGCTCTTCCAGCCTATCCTAATTTTCAGGCCTGTTAAGAGGAGCACATGGGAGTGGGGCGGAATGATGACCATGGACCATGCAGAGCCCTTTGGAGGAAGGATGTGGCAAGGACAGCTGCAAGGCAACTATCAGCCACGAGGTGGCAGCAAGACAACAGCTTCCTGTTACCCTTTCATGACTATAAATACAGTGAAGCTTGGTTATAAATTTGGAAGCAATTCATAGGCAGCTTTCGTCACAACCAGCTGCTTGGAGAGAATGGATTAAATGCTCCACCTTCTGTGGGAGCCACCCCTGCTTCAACTTCCGTCATGTCAAAACTCCGTTACCTGCAACAATCCATCCCACGCACACCCAACCGTCTCAGTTCCTCCCGTGCTTATGGGCATATGCTAACTCTGGTCACTGCTCTGTATAAGAATTGCTCTCCCCAGTGAGAGGACCTTGCTGGGATCTAGATCTACTGGAACAGGATCCAAATGCTCCCTCTTGACACTCTGCTCGCACTCTCCTTTCCCTTTGCTAAAGCCCCACGATAGGTTTCTGATGGGAATGACCCAGAATGAGGTTAACCAGACGTGGCATTCTCAAGCGTAAACAGACCAGTGGAAGCTCATCAGTTGCTCACAGCATCGCTGAACTGCCTCCAGCCCATTTTCCGGTGCGCCATACTCCTCGTAGCTCTGTCTCCAACAGAGAAGTGTGTAGAAGGCTGGAATCTGGCAAGAACCACCATGGTGCTGGAAAGTGGCGGATGCTCCGCAAGAGGCCATCGCCACTGTTAGGAGAGAACCCAAGCCAGGTCTACCAGCCACAAGGTGTGTCCCAGGTAGCATTTATTGATAGATCAGCATACAGACGTGACATGACATGGCTACATAACGGAGGATCTTCACATCTTCAACATGCAGAAGTCTACAGATCAAGGCCTCCAGCGTGCTCCACTTCCAACGAATCAGTCCTGTACAAGGAGCTCTTATTGTGCTCTTCTAGCCATTAGCATTTCCCGGATGTTGTCTTCAGCTTCTTTTACGCTCCGCTCCAGGTAAGACTTTCTTTGCTAAATGGAATGAAAAAAGAAAAGAGGAAAACGGGAGAAGATTACAGGCATGTGCCAGGGTCCAGCTTCTGGAGGGCAACTGGAACTCTCCTCCAGGAAGACTGAGGAAGCACAATGAGATGCACTTCTGCATCGCACTGCATTCGTAGAAAAACCGTCCTAGATATTTGATGGAATCCAACTTCAGATGCACGGCAACCTCAAAACCACAACTGCCAAAGCTGATTCCAAAAAGAGAGCTTAAAGAAATTTCAAAGCCCCCGAGTCTCTCTCTTGTCTTCGCTGGAAGAGTAAAATGAAAATAGGATATAATTATTATAAAGGTTTATTTGTGATAAGTTGTAGAGGATACATAGAAAAGGAAGGGGGAGTTAATAACATGAATCCAAAGTAGTGCAAGATTTGCTTGCTTTGTACGCCACCCAGAGAGCTTTCAGGCTATGGGGTGGCATATAAATGTAATAAATAAGATTTGCTGTGTGTGCTAAGACTCCAACCCATCCAGCATAGCCCTGTTGCTGAGGCTTCTAGAGGCTTTTGAGGTGGGGAGCATAAGCCAGGAGCACCCCCACTCTTCTCTGCCTTCCTGCCTGAGCCTGGCCGTTCCTCCTCTTCATGGCAAAGGGAAGAGGGGGCTCAGCGTGCCCATGCATGGGACCGCAGGGTGCAAGCTGGCGCTGGCTCTCCCCGTGCCAGTTTCCAGTGCAGCCCCCCCCCCCCCATGCACTGAGTTGACCTCTCCTCTTTTCCACTTAAGCACTGGCTCATCAGTCACACGCACCCAGCACTAGCAAACAAAGACCGTCTCTGCTCTTGGCAAGGAAGCAAGACGGAGCACCTGGCAAAATACGGAATGGTTCCTTGCGAAAAATACATCCTCCCTCCCTAAGCACAAGGATTCCTGAAATACCCCCTTTAATATAAACTTGCTTGTGAAAGAAGAGTGACATTGTTTGAAGTAACCCACGTTCTGCAGTATCAACAACTACATATCCAGCCTCCTTTTTTGGGAAATCTTGACTAATGCGGCCTCAAGCGGTGCTACACATGAGTAAAAGAGGGCCTGGGTGACACATCGTCAAAACATTCCTGTTCCAGGAGCTGAGAACAAGGCAGGCGATTATTTGCACTTCGCTGCCAGCGAGCAGAGCAAACGCTTACTCACGGTTGTGGATTTCAGGCGGCATCAGATGGCGGGGAAGGTGGGAGTGAAAAGGGGCCCTGCAGCGAGCAAGGGAGCCACGGGGCTTTTGCTGCACAGCAGCCAAGATATTTTATTTCAAACATTTGTACCCCGCGCTTCACGACTCCCAGGAGTGGCTATTAAAACCAGCCCTGTAAAATGGCACTCCATTAATACCACTAAAGGAGCATCACACAGCATTAATGACTGCAACCAAGTTATAGAATTCTGTGCCATTAAGAGAAAAGGGGGCTGAAACATTAAAAAGCGCCAACTGGTCCTGAAGACAAGACTGGTGCCAGGAGAGCCTTGCACCCCTGGAAGAGAGGAAGGCATTCCAGACCCGTAGTTTCATTTCCACTGAGAAGGGCTCTTATGATGATCCCTCCGTGCCTCAAAGTCTTCTGCCCCTTCTACTCTCTCGTTTGCATACTTGGAAAGTGAAGAAGGCAAGGAGGACAAGGCAAAGAGAGCAGGAGCCTACGTAACTTTTCCCATTTCCTTGGGAAAAAATGGTGGGATCATCACATCATTCCCATGCTCAGCAGTATTAGCTGCTCAACCGGAAGCGGGATGGTCTTTGCAGCACCACTGGCCAGACCAACTTCACTAATCCCGAATGTTTCTCCTGCTACACTACGCAGAAATTGGCTCACACCCCAAGGCAAACTAATCCCCAGCCAGGCACCAGGTAGCACCATGCGTCTCTTAGTCTGTTGCCACTGCAGCACACAAGCCGGTCTGGTGCTCCCGGTATGCCAGACGCCTGGCTCTGTTCCTCTCCTGGCACAGCAGCAGGGGAACATGGGCCTGAGCTGCGGAGGCTTCCTCTCAGCTCCTCTGGGAAGCGACAGGGGAGGTGGGCAACGGGGGGGGCAAGGAGCCCATGATTCATGGTGTGTGGCGGTAACAGCAGACGAGGGTCCTGCTCCGTGTTCCTCCCAAGTGGGAGCCTGAACGGCAGGGAAGCGAGGCCCAGCTTCACAGCCCTGGCGAAGCCGAGATCTCAAGAGCCGTTCCCGATGCTCCAGAGAAGCACGGCTGCCCACGAAGCAGTGCCTCCCCAGTTCCACCCAGGCGTGAGGGCGCCTGACTCACTCCGCTCCAGCTGCCCTGCTTCCTTCCCGTGGGAGAAGGCGTGGGCAGGCAACGCCACCCCAGCTGGTGCCCCGGGCGAGTCATCCTGCCTCGGGTGGGCCGTTCCCCTGGCACAGGCCAACCCAGTGGGGGAAGCCGCCAACGGCGAGGCCGAATCCCCAGCTGCAGACCAGAGGGACGCTTCCACCCAGCCTCTGGCCGAGGACCAGATGGCATCAGGAACCACTGTGCCGCCCTGAACCAGGGGACACGGCCCAGGCCACTTCCATCACTTGGTATCTGGAAGACCGGGGGGCGCAGAGCCACCCGGCCCCCACCCTGCTCCGGCTGGAGCAGCTCCGGGGTTCGATCTCAGAGCCAGTCCCATCACCACAGAGCAGGGAGCTCTTCCCAACGGTGCACTTCCTCCCACTTGAGCACACGGCAGCGAGAGCGAGCATCTGTTCAACGGTGCTGTGCAACAGGGCACAGAAACAAAACTCATCCGGAGAATTCGTCCCCATAACGTGCTCAGACTAACTTCCCAATGTGACAAGTACAATTCCTAAAAGCAAAGGCGTGATTATTTAGCAAAAAGAAGGTTTCCTGAACGATTTCAGGCGCAGGTGTATCAGATCGCTGATACTAATGCTTCGCAGGCCAGGGCAGCGGAGGGAAAGGGCACGCATCCAGTAGCTATGCACGGACAGCCAATGGCCGAGAAGGCCTCACAGATGCCGATGCGACCAAAGTGTAACATAAGCCGGACAAATACTTGTCAAGTGAATCAAAACATGGCAGACGCCTGCACAGCCTTTCTCCTCCCAGACTGCCTCCACGGACGCTGGCTTGATCTCACTGGCAAGATCATCCGTAGCCACCGTTCCATCTCCCCGACCACAATTCTCAGCTTCCAGCCAGATTCCAGAAGGAAGAAAATGCAGGCTGTCTGGTTAGACAGCTTACTCATCCCCTCCCATTCTCTGCTCCGTGCTGAATATCCTGTTGCTGAGTCAGCCCTGCACAGCCTGCAACCGAGCTGGAAATATCCAGGCAAGAGCGCCACACGTGGCTGCTGCTTCGTGGCCCACAAACGGTCCAGGCCCTTCCTCAGCCTGTTTCCCGGCAATCACCAGGTGGAGGCAACCTCCCTGGTAAAAACCTAAGGAAGAGCTGCCACTCCAGCAGGTGCACAGAAGGGAGATCAGAGCAAGTCCCCAGTGCAGGGATTCCACCCGCACAGGAAACGCCCTTGAGTCTGACGCTGCAGCGGCTTGACCTCTGTGAAGCAACCGCACGGTTTCCTCATCTGACAGGTGCTGCCTCGCGTACCAGAGCGCTCGATGGTGCAACGGCCCAGGTGGCAGACCAGGCTGGGGGGTGATTAGCCAACGCCTGACCCTCAGGTGCATGCTAAGAAACACATACTGGCAGGTATGCCAGGCATCCACAAGGACCCCCCACCGGGTTGCTGACCCGGCCTCTGAGCCACGGCAGTCTTGGTGTGCAGCGCACCGCACTGGCTCACCCATCTGGTGCAGCCTGGAAGGGACGCGCCCCGTCTTCTCCCCGAAGCGCCTTGCCACACGTCAAGGAGTGCCCTGCTCTGGCCTACGTGGCGATGGGGGGAGCTGGCCGGCTTCGTCCAGGCACAAGTTTCCAGCTCCAGGATGCTGCTGCTGCTGCGTTTGGCCCAGAGGGCTGCCCTGCGCCCACACACAGCCGGATGGCAAAGTCGGCAGCCTTTCCCAAGGACACTCTCCCCACGCCCTGGCCCACATCTTGGCGCGCCGGCCTGTCAGGTGCTCACGATGGGATGCCTCCATCCACGAAGGCTTGGAATCCTCGGGCGTGATACAGTCGCCTCAAATAAACACCCCGACAGCGAGTGTCTTGTGACCCTGTCTCAAAGCGATGTCTAGCCTGGAGGTTCTCAATCTCTCAAGTTAACACTTCGCATCTTTGACATTCTTCCGTCACCGTGCGTGGCCACCATTCAGGAAAGCGACTGCCCTGCCTCGCGACATCGCTGGCCAGGCTGGCTTTCCTGGAGAGAGCTCCTCCAAAGTGGGAGGTGCATGCCTGCCCCACAGCGAGGGGCTGGACAAGGGTGGTGTGAGGTGACTGCACTCCTCTGGGTAGCTGGAGTAGCTGCCTTCATCAGAACACTTTATCCTGCCCATGTTGAACAGAAAGGGATTCTGCATGCAATCCTCCAAGAGCTGCCAAGTAAGATACATTCCACTATCTCATAATCTATGAAGTTTATTTACTGGAAACGCTTGGCTTGCTTTTAAATCAAGTGATTTTCAAAGAAGAGGCCAATAAGACAATAAAAGGGATAAGGTAATTACAGTGAGACTCAAAGGCCTGAAATGCTCCATCGTTCAGGGCTGATCCAAAACGAACGCAGAAGATGCACAGCTGAAAAACAGCCATGCAAAGATCTCCTGTAATGAGGAGCTGAATAGGCATATATTTCCCTCTTTCTAAAGGCACTCCTACCAGTCAGTTCCAAATATTTCATGTGCATCTCCAAGGAGAAGCAGGCTCAAAAACAGAACACAGTCTGAACATTTACCAGCATCAGATTAAAATAAATCAGGGAAGAATCTGACTAGATTTTCTTATATTCCAGTCTCTGGCCAAGTTGTCTGTGGTGCAAGACATATAAATAAGCAACTGAAGATAGCCCAACACTATCGAGTTACTCATTTGCCCAGAGATTTCACTGGAGCACCTCAAGATGCTTCTCTGCAGTAACCGCTCGGATATGCTGCAAAGCAAGTCTCTCTGACCGAACCATCTTCAGTTGGCAACATCTGAACGAAGGTTTTCAAGAGGGCAGGAGGCAAAAAGTACGGTCAGGACCAGGCCAGGCCAGGCCAGGCCAGGCCCCCAACTCTAATCAAATCACTGTGTCATCAACAAGAATCGCCTTTTAAAATACATCAGCAATATATCAGGCAAAATACTTACTATGGAGCTCCAGATATTGTCTAGAGCATGGGTCTGGAGGGGC